ATGAGGAGTGGGAGAGAATTCCTCTGGAACAGTTGTGTCTATTATAACAGGTCTTCCCTGACGAAACACTAGTTTCACATTTGATTCTCCATTCGAACGACGAGTAGCTATTGCCCTTTTCACTTCTCTTATTTCGTCTAATTGGATCTTTGTTCGGTCCAGTGCCATCCAAATTTTCGCCAAGTGAGGATGATCCGTACCCTTTTTGGCAGCTACAAATGTTTGATACAGCACTCGTGCCCTCTCCTCCGTCACACATACAATCCTCACCGGGCGGGGTTTCTGAGACGCCTGCGTAAGAGAACCAAGTCTTTGAACTTTTAGAATGTCAGAATTACATGATGGCACAATAGGTGCGAGAACATTAAAAACTGACTCATTTAGAATTTCAACCGTGGACCCCGAAGTGACAGATTCAGCATGCTCAGGAATGTTAAAAAGAATAAGATTTTTTTTCTTCCTTTCACGAGATTCAAATTCAGCCATGCATATATTTACAACACCGGTAGTTGAACTAGATTTGACATTTAATTTGACAGTACCTTCGAGAGTAGAAACACGAGAAACTATATCATCTATCCTAATGTCCATGTTATCGACACGAGTCAATGTATTATCCAGCTTCAAATTAATTTCATCCAACTTGAGTGTGATAAGAGTCTTCCATACCAGTCAAATTAGGTTGAAGCATTTCAAATGTTTTCTTGACGATAATTTCAATGTCTTTAACAGTGATGGGGGCAGAGGAAGGAGACGGAGAACGTGGTTTGCAGCACTTAGAAAGAGAGCCATTCGCAAGAGTTGGACAACGCGATTTACAGCCAGGGTGATAAGACGAATTGCAACCGGGGCAAAAAACAGGATCCACTACCGGTTTATTGCACCACACACAATCAGATTTAACTGATAATTTCGGAGGCATTATGAGTTATTTATAAAAAAATTGTTATCACAAGAATAAAAAGTATTTATCACCCACGTGTTTATAGGTTAGTTTTATGAATAATAAGAATTCAGCACTTAAGTATGATAAAGAATTCAAGTAAAATTAACAAAACACTATAACCTATCAAAAACACCTGTAATACAGTCAAGCCGACAAAAAATTCCACGAAAAAACACTAAAAAAGCAAAAAAAAACTAAGAGCGATAGATAAACAGCACTGTAACTAGCAGCCCCCTAGCGGGAAAAATTGCTATAAACAAATTATATAAACAAATTTTAATTTTAGATAATTACTTTGATCGATTTTATAGTGACCCAGGGGTTTTTGGCTTCGCTGATCACGAATTCGATGTTAGTTTTTCAAAAAATCAAAATCGAATAGCATATCCAATAAGGTAGACAATTTTGTAAAAATTAAATTCGATTGAAAATTGTTATTTAGGTCTCTTTGTTACTGTATATAAATTATACGTCAGTCTTTTTAAAAATTTTAAATGTCTTCTAAGAAAACTTTTTTAAGCGAATCCAATGAATTTGTAAAAATTTGTAAAAATTTGTAAAAACTGACATCGAATTCGTGATCAGAGACCACAAAAACTCCCGAGTAACCAGATTCAAGCAAATTTAAGCGATTTTTAAAATTTTGTCCGACATTTTGAATTTTGAAAAACTGACATCGAATTCGTGATCAGCTACGCCGAAAACCCCCGAGTAATCAGTTTTATTTAAGTTAATTGAAATCATTGCCTAAATTAACAATTTGTTTATATGATTTGTTTATAACAATTTACTAATGGGTCTATATCATCATTCCAGAATTCAAAGATCCAGTGGAGTAAATTTAAATACCTAACCATAAAAACTTTACATATTTTTTGAAAATAAGAGTAATATGTAAAAAAGTACGTTTTTTTATTTGTTTATATTAATATAATTATTTATGCAAATTGAAAATCAAAAATCGGGCTCGAGGGATCTCTTACAATTTTATTAAAGATTATTTTTAAAAAAAAATTCAAAAATCGGTTGCGATTTGTAGGCTCTAGACTGTTTTGAACCTTACTTTTTGATTTCAAACCACTGTTAGGGAGAGTAAATAAAGTACTATATATATGGGGGAAAATTCCTGAAGTGAACCGATATAAAAAAAAAGTTTTTGGATCGGGCTAAAATTTTTCCTAAATTTAGTACTATGGGTGAGTACTTCACCCACCAAATATTATTAAGTTTTATCAAAAACTGTAGAGGGGGGAGGGGGTTGTAGTTTTCAGTCAAGCGTCAACATTGAGTTTTTCTAATAATGGTAGCTATTATATACAGAAATGAAAAAAATTTTGACATGTATGTTTTCGAAAGGTTTTTTCCTGCTCTTTCGAATGGTTTTAAAAATTTTTGAAAAAATTCAAAATTTGACCCGTTTTTTTGAAAATTAAAAATATTTTTGACTGTATCTCAAAATCGGCATTTTTTTGAATTTTTTTTTTTTTGAAATAAAGCTTAAAATATGTACTTTTAGTAAAAAAATTTTGGAAATGTCCTTTTTTTTGTTTTCCAGATATAAATAAATTTATTAACAAAAATTATTAAAAAATGAAATATTTCACAAAGGAATAAGTTTAAGGTAACTCTGAGATTAATATTTCAAAGCTTATGAAATTCCGCATCTAATGAGCTATGTGTGAAGTATTTTGAATTAACAGATTGTTAATAAATAATTATCAATGACTGCTAGTAAATTAATTAATTAATTAAAATCTATTAATCCAAAATGCTTCATATAGGGCTCATTGGATGCGGAATTTAACCATCTTTAAGCTGATAATTTCAAATTCACTCTAACTTTATTTGCTTTTGAAATATTTCACTTTTTATAAATTTTTATTAATTTATTAGTTTATATCTCCGAAACAAGAAACAAGGACATTTTCATAATACATTATTTTCTCAACTGTTCTCTATAATGCATTTTATTAACGAAAAATTGAAAAAACTTTTTTGACTGAATTTTATTGGTTTTAAAATATAACACTTATTTACAGTAATTTGAATTTTGGCGCCTACCGTAAGTAGTTCAAATACTTGACACAAGATGTCTTGGTTCTTCTTTTGGTAGCAGACATTCATGTTACAATTCATTATATGAGCTCAAGATCAATCTTTTTTTCAATTTTTAGAGAATACACTAAGTTCAGGTTTGTACTTATTTTTTATCTTTTCTCGTGTTATATTTGCGTTAACAAGCACAATTTTTAATTTTCTCAAAGTAATTTTTTTACGTTGAGTATAATTTAATTATATTGTTCGAAGGTTTGCGTTGAGTATAATTTTTTTATTTATTTCTTTTTCTTATACTTACTGTTTGCAGGCTGTTTCTTGTTTCGGAGATATAAACTAATAAATTAATAAAAATTTATAAAAAGTGAAATATTTCAAAAGCAAATAAAGTTAGAGTGAATTTGAAATAATCAGCTTAAAGATGGTTAAATTCCGCATCCAATGAGCCCTATATGAAGCATTTTGGATTAATAGATTTTAATTAATTAATTAATTTACTAGCAGTCATTGATAATTATTTATTAACAATCTGTTAATTCAAAATACTTCACACATAGCTCATTAGATGCGGAATTTCATAAGCTTTGAAATATTAATCTCAGAGTTACCTTAAACTTATTCCTTTGTGAAATATTTCATTTTTTAATAATTTTTGTTAATAAATTTATTTATATCTGTAAAACAAAAAAAGGACATTTCCAAAATTTTTTTACTAAAAGTACATATTTTAAGCTTTATTTCAAAAAAAAATTCAAAAAAATGTCGATTTTGAGATACAGTCAAAAATATTTTTAATTTTCAAAAAAACGGGTCAAATTTTGAATTTTTTTAAAAAATTTTTAAAACCATTCGAAAGAGCAGGAAAAAACCTTTCGAAAGCATACATGTCAAAATTTTTTTCATTTCTGTATATAATAGCTACCATTATTAGAAAAACTCAATGTTGACGCTTGACTGAAAACTACAACCCCCTCCCCCCTCTACAGTTTTTGATAAAACTTAATAATATTTGGTGGGTGAAGTACTCACCCATAGTACTAAATTTAGGAAAAATTTTAGCCCGATCCAAAAACTTTTTTTTTATATCGGTTCACTTCAGGAATTTTCCCCCATATATATATTATTTAAAATCGATTTTTTGAAGACAGGTGAGTAAAACACATGTACTGACAAGGTTTCGGAGGCACGGTTCGCCATTATCATCAGGTCACTTTATTACAATCAAAACAAATTCAATACAAACGGAAAAAACAAAAAAATTCTTTTTTTAAAATTTTAAACAATATATCTACCAAATTAAAAGAAATAACACCAACATTTCGTCAAAGGAGTAAAAAATTAAATATATAGAAAAAATGAATAAAAAATTGTAAACGTTTTTTAACAATTTTATTAATTATCTCATCAATATCACTGGAATATTCCCTCAATATCAAAGGAATATTACCTCAATATCACAGGAATATTCTACATAATGTCACAGAGATATCCCCTGAATATCACACAAATTTCACAGGAATATTCTCTCAGTATCATACGAATATCACAGGAAAATCAGATGTGGAATATCCCCGTAAAGCGGACATTATGATATCGCCTGAATGTCACAAGAATACTCCCACTTGATATCACCGTGCCATTCAACCAATATTTCGTATTACTTGGGCTGCTTTATTACACATAGATACAATCATTCAAAAATATTGATTTAATGACCAATTTTTCTAACATGTTAATTATATTACAGTTAAAAAATATTTTAACATGTTGGTTTAGACACATGGAGTAATTTAAAGATGGTTAAAAAATGAAATATAACGCAATATGTATTAGGAAGGCTGCAGATTCAAGAACGAAAATAAAATGTTCGATCGAAGTATCTGTGTGTCTGAAACTTCATTTTCCTAAGAATTTGCAGCAACCGTAAAAAGTTGGATAATCGCTAACAAAGTTACGCTATATTTTCTTATTTAATGTATTTTTATTATTGATTCCTTAGGATATGAAGTTGCTACCAATTTTTGATGAGTTGAATGGAACATACGTAAACATAACTGGATTTCAAATGCTCCAACATGAAAAACTTTCTGCAGAAATCACCACTGTAAGTATAAATAATTTTTAAAAAATGTTTAATTTTTTATAATCTGATAAAATTTTAAAAAATAATAACATTACTGTCTACTTTTTTGATCCAGTATACTAAAAGCAGGCCTCAAACTACCTTTGGCACTGAAAATTATGTACTTTACGGACCAAAAAATTAGGGACCAATATACAGATCAAGATTTATTGTTTTTTCATTTAAAATGTTGATTTTTAATATAAAAATGGAATGATATAGTTATAAACAATGACAAAAATTTGAATTAGGATATTTTTATTAATTTAGAATTAATAAAAAAAATCTAAACCATATCTGCTTCCATTCTTTGGTTATCAGCTTCTCTTCTTGCATGCTTGACTCCATCCAACAAAGCTTTGGCAACTTCCACTTCTGCTAAGTCTTTTTTCTCTATTTTAGTCTTTAGTTTTCTACTTGCTTCTTCAAAAAGTTTGTTTTCTGTTTTCCTTTAATTTGAATACTCATTTTTTTCAATTCCTTAACCTTAACCTTAACATTACTGAGCCTATCTTTTTGTTCTTGGAGAAATCTCCATTCATCCCGTACTATTTCGTTGTCAGAATCCATTGGTAAAACTCGAGCAAGTTTTACTATCTGCCAATAATAACAAACCTGTGTAGCATGCGTCAATATGCATCCCAAAAATTCCGAGTGGGTACAGCTGTAATGTCCTGACTGTCAATGGCAAAGGACGGTGGCATCGGCACAGGTGCTGCTGTTCTTGACCTGAAGTAGTTCCGAATTCTTCGGAAGTCACTACCTTCCGGTTGGTCAAGACATGTATGTGGTGCATGTCGTCGTATTTAAACGGTAACCGACCGCCAGTATGGCCTCCGGTTCCCCGGATACTGGGGTGCTATTCTGTAACTTCACTTCACTTCCACTTCACATTTACTTTACTTTCACTTCACATTCACTTCTATTTCATTTCACTCTAGTTTCACTTTAATTTCATTTCGCTTTCACTTCAATTTCATTTCACTTCCACACTAGTTTCACTTCACATTCATTTCGCTTTCATTCTGGTTTCACTTCACTTACACTTCGCTTACACTACACTTTCATTTCGCTTTCACTTTAGTTTCATTTCACTTACACTTCGCTTATACTACAATTTCATTTCACTTTCATTTCACTTCACTTACACTTCGCTTATCCTACACTTTCATTTCGCTTTTACTCTAGTTTCCTTTCCACTTTTTGTAGTAAAAGTGAGGTGAAATGAAAGTGTAAATGAAAATGAAGCGAAAGCGAAGTAAAAGTGAAGTTACAGAATAGCACCCCTGGAAAGTGTTACTCATATCTGAGTAAAATTGTACCAGGGACGAACCTGGAGCCCAGGAGGCCTTCGGGATTACACCAGGCGTTGGACATGGATTCGTAGTGGTAGTGGTTACAGCTTACATCGTTTGAGGTTAGTGTGCGTTAGCACGTTGTGCACACATCTTTCGCATTCGGTGTGTGAGTTAACTCAACTCGGTTGATAACCTGCAGAGTTTCCAGGGATTAGAAATGTCCCGGCCCTATTGAAAATTTACACGTGTACGTCCACGTGTAAAGATACGTATATTCAGGACTTTATTTTTTTTAAATATTTCGCCCATTCCTCTACGAGTATATAGGGTGTAAAATTCCTGTAGCGAACTAAGTGAAAAAAAATTGATCGGATCGGGCAATCCTGAAGGTACCAATTGAAAGCTGACGTTATTCCGCATCCAACGAGCCCTATATGGACTATTTTGGATTAGAGGATTTTCTATAAACAATCGCCATGTTAGCCAATTGTTTTTTAACAATCCACTAACCCAAAGTACTTCATATAGGACTCGTTGGATGCGAAATTATATCAACTTTTATTAAGTAACGTCAGAATTACGATACCTTTATTCGTTCATAAAATATATAAATTTTTATTAACATTAATTAATTAATTAACTAATAGCTCGAAAACAACAAAAAAGGACATCTCAATATTTTTTGAGGTAAAAATGCACATTTTTACCTTCAAAAAAATAAATTTAAAAAAAGACCGAACTTAAAAAAAAGTTAAAAAAAATTCTTGATTTTCAGAAAAAAGGGTCAAATTTTGTATTTTTTGAAATTTTTTTCTCACCAATCGCAAACGCACAAAAAAAATTTAGAAAACATATATGTCAACATTTTTTTTGCTTACTTACATACTATTTACAATTTTTAGTTAATTAATTAACTACACAGGCACACAAAAAATAAAAAGCTGTTTGGCCGAGCCACTACACTAGTCTATTGCCATGTATTTTTTCACGCAGAATCCGAATCCGAAGTCAGAATTATCAGATTGGCTTTTATTTTTGAGATAAACTCAAAAAACTGCTCAGAAAGAAAAATAAAATAAAAAAATTTAAAAATTTTTGAATGTCACTGCGATAGTGTAATTCCATGTATTTTTTGTCGCTGAATCCGAATCCAGAGTCAGAATTGTTAGATTCGCTCAAATTTTTGAGACAATTGCAAAAGAACGCAAGTAACAAAAAACTCAAAATCAGTTTTTTGGAATTATCTTCAAAATTTGAGCCAATCTGTCAATTCTGACTTCGAATTCGAATTCAGCGTGAAAAAATACATGAAAATGCACTATCGTAGTGTTTCGGAAAAAAAAATTATCTGTGCCCCTAATTCAGAATTTTTATCAGTTTTTGGCGATTTTAGCTCAAAGAAATTTTTTTTTGCCGAAACACTACGATAGTGCATTTTCATGTATTTTTTCACGCTGAATTCGAATTCGAAGTCAGAATTGCCAGATTGGCTCAAGTTTTGAAGATAATTCCAAAAAACTGATTTTGAGTATTTTGAGTTTTTTGTTACTTGTGTTTTTTTGCAATTGTCTCAAAAATTTGAGCGAATCTAACAATTCTGACTTTGGATTCGGATTCAGCGACAAAAAATACATAGAATTAAACTATCGCAGTTACATTCAAAAATTTTTTAATTTTATTTTTCTTTCTGAGCAGTTTTTTGAGTTTATCTCAAAAATAAAAGCCAATCTGATAATTCTGACTTCGGATTCGGATTCAGCGTGAAAAAATACATGGAAATAGACTAGTGTAGTGTCTCGGCCAAACCACAGTTTACTTTTTGTGTGCCTGTGCTATTAAGGTTAATAAAAAATGATATATTTTACAAACAAATAAAGTTATCGTAATTCTCACGTTAGTAAACTAAAAATGACAATTATTTATAGAAAATCATCTAATCCAAAAAAGTGCATATAGGGCTCGTTGGATGCGGAATAACGTCAGCTTTCAATTGGTTCCTTCAGGATTGCAATAACTTTATTTATTTGTGAAATATTTCATTTTTTATTAACATTAATTAATTAATATCTCGAAAATAACAAAAAAGGACATCTCAATATTTTTTGTTGTGAAAATACACATTTTTTGTTTTCAAAAAAAATAAATAAAAAAAATAAAAAGGACCGAACTCAACAAAATTTTTTTAAATGTTTAATTTTCAAAAAAGGGTCAAAATTTGAATTTTTTGAAAATTTTTATTGCACCATTTGAAAGAGCAGGAAAAAACCTTTCAAAAACGTATAAGACAAATTTTTCTTCTTCTTTCTGTTTAAAAGTTACAAGTCTTCAAATATGCACTGTTTTAATTTTTCAAAAAAGTTCAACCTTCTCCCTCTTCGACAGTGTTTGAAAAAACCTAACAATACTTCGTGGTTAAATTACTCACCCGTAGGGCAAGTTACAGGAATTTTACCCCATAGGTATATATACACGTGTAGTCAAGACTTAATTTTTTTCACAGATATTTTGCCATATTCTCCACGTGGATGTACACGTGTATTTGATATTTTAATATTTCTTGAATATTTCCTAAACTTTCTACACAAGTAATTACAGGTGTAATGGATACTTTGAAACTTTTTTGAAATTTAATAATTTGTTACACGTGGAGCTACACGTGTATTTAATACTTTAATATTTCTCGAATATTTTATAAACTTTGTGACGTAATTTTTACAATGTCACAAACACTATCTTTTCTAGAATTATTGCCCACAACTTGTCAATTTCCGAATTTATTCAAAAATAATAACAGTTGCCTGGAGAACGTGATATACGACGAAATAACACTCCACAACTAATGTTATATTACGAAGAGAAAATTGTTTAATATTTTGTAGTAGATTCTGCCTTTGTTTTGTTTTTTTATTAAGATTTACCGATCAACTCAGGAAGATGACATCACAGAAATTTCCGAAAATCCATTATTTTGTGGCTGACAAAGAACCCCGCACCATATACATGGGAATTTGGGGTCCGGTGAAATTTCTTGAACTTTGTAGTTTTTTACCTCCTGAACAAAAAAATATAAATTGTAAAATTAAAAAAAATAAACAGATTTTTTGATATTTAAGGTTTAAGTTTAAAAAAAAGTGTTAAAAACTAAAAAAATTCAAAAATGAGTAAAACCAAAAAAACTAAATAAACTTTCTTAAAACTCGTTACACGGAGGTTTTCGGGGTCGCTGATTATAAATTCGATGTCAATTTTTGAAAATCCAAAATGGCGGATACAAAATGGCTGACCAATTTTTTTAAAATTTATCGAATTCTTCAATTTCGTAACTTTCAAAGATCTTAATCAGCGAAAAATATAGTATTCCTATATAAAATATATCTAACTTTATCGAATTCAGTTGAATCTAGTTATTCAGGGGTTTTTGGGGTCGCTGATTATGAATTCGACAAAAGTTTTTAAAAATCCAAAATACCGGATGCAAAAAAAAATTATTTTTATTTACTTAAAATTTGTTACTAGATGACTTTTTAAGCCTCGGTGATTAAAAATTCGGTTTTGGTTTGTTCAATAGTTTGTAGCTGGGTATAATATTTTTATTATCTTTTATCATGTATTTTTCAACTGTATAACAAGGGTTTTTCTTCATCCTACTTGTTTGTATCAACTCACTGAGCACGCAAACGCACG